TCTCTGTTTCACTGAAAATTTCCTGTCCTACCATGGTCCATTTCCTAGCCTCAGAGTTTTTATTTTCATTTCTTAATTCACTGTCGCACCGTTTTTAACATCCTCCATATTGTCGCCCCCTTTTTTTCTCTATTTGTTATCTTTAAACTTCTATACCCTCATCCAACAAGGAGCTCATTGTTTTTTTCATATTTTATTCCGGCCAAACCATCCTCCTCTGATTGTCAAACTACCATTCATCTTCACCTTCAGTGGCAAATGATCTGAATTGTGTTGATCCCCAACTCTAAAACATTCTACGATATCATTGCTCACAACTCTATCTAAGCTATTAGTTTTTTCTCTCATTGTTTCGTACTGTTTCTTAATACTACAGCTTATATTTCCTATCTTAATATTTAAGTCAGTACCAATTTCTAAATTTACCACTTCTATGACTTTTATTTTTTCCAAACCTTCTACCCCATAAATTAAGTTTTCTGAATAACATACTCAAATAATCCTCAAACTTAAATTATTATTTACAATCTTAGTTTCAGACTCGGTAGAAGGCTGCCTCAGCGTACGGACGTACCGTTAACAGTGTCCGTGCTAAGCAGTGATTTTTGTAAGGTCTCTCTTGGCAATCGATCTCTAATATTAAGAAAGAGCAGGCGAGATGAAAAGTAAGCGTATACAAAAAGAAATTGCTCAAAGATTTTGTAGTGTAAAAGTTAAGAAAGGAGAACAAGAGGTGTAAGTGACAGTATGATTAGGTTCGAGGTTGGTTTGAACAAACTGCACGTGGTCGAGCTGCTGGTAAAGCAAATTTACAGGATAGCATAAAAAATGGAGGCTAATAAAGAGAAGGAGAGGAAAAAAGAAAACTGTGCTCAAACCCAAGAGCGGGGTGGAAGAAAAGGATGGTCGTTTAAAGGTGTAAGCAAGAAACCTTCGCAAATAAGAGAGAGCTTAAGAGAAAAAGTTACAAGATCAAAAAGTGACAATGCTAAAGAGTACGAGAAAGGAAGAAAAAAACTAGTTGATGCGAAGCAAACAACACTTGATTCGAGATTTGTATTAGAAGAAGAAATTAAAAAATGCAAGTTAGAAGAAAAAGAGTATATGAAAGCTAAGCTAAAGTGCTCGGAAGCTATCAACAAGATGAAGTAAGGCGTTATAAAGCTGGAAAAAGAAGTGGTTTATAAAAAGAAGAGGGAGCTTAAAACTTTAGACAAACTAAAAAGGCTAGTAAAGTTTCTAGGTGAAAAATTCCAAGAAGAGGAGAACACGGAGGAGAACACATCGATATCAGCGGGATCAACATCAAGAGGAGGTAGCAGCAAAGGAAGGTCGACAGCGTGGAGTGTTATATCAGGTGAGAGTAGTAGAAGCCGAATGTCGGTAAGGGAGAAATTACAAGTTAAAAAATTAGTTCAGGAAAGAGCGAAAGAAGGAAGAGAAAACAATGTTATAATAAGAGGGGGGAAAATAGGCACACAAAACATAAAGGAACGGGTTGTAGAATCATTCACGAATGTTTTACAGATAAAAGTAAATATAACGAATGTGAGGACGAGTGGTCTGGTGATATTATTGAAATAAGCAAATTATGATGATAAAATGTGTGTGATGAAGAATAACAATAATTTATTGATAAAGACTTGTGATTCGAGGAGAGAAAAAACAAGAACTTCCAGTTAAATGGGTCAAGAAGCAGAAAGAAATTGGCTGAGATGTAAAAATAGGGCAAGACAAATTCAGGTTTACAGGCAATTGCTATCGTTGGGAAGAAGGTATAGTGTTGCATGCAAAGAGCGTGGGAGTCTGTAAAAGTAATAAAAGAAATAACGAGATAGCGAATGAGTACGATGACGTGAGCGGCGCTGTTAATGAAGGAGAATGGAAGAATAATAAAGTTCTCGATAATAAAAACAAATAATGTTAGGAAATATTATTTTAGTCCAGACCCTACGATATACGCGAAAAATATAGGAGGTACAGCGAATTCTAAGAGTTCCGAGAAAGACTGCAAAAATGAGGAAATAGGCGAAAAGGAGCTATGTGAGATTATTGGTTAGGCCAGAAGCAGAGGTTGACACAGGCTAAGGTGAAGGATGTAAGTGTGCGTAATCCTGTAAATGATTCTAATTTAAATTTAATTTTCTTGAACGCTACGGGAATACATATAGGGATAAATAGATATAGAAGGGACGGACTTTGTGAGCCTGTCTGCTGTCAATCTTTCAGCTGATTTTGTATGGGAAGCGGTCCATGCGGTAAGATACAAGACAAAGGGTAAGGCAATAGGTGGTTTCATTATCAGCTTGAAAAAAGAACTTTATAATGAGAAATGCAAATTATTTCACGTTTTAGAAGAGAGAATTATTTAATCAAATATACCAAACATGGACAAAAAAAACAGTGGATTGAAAATCATATTAATATACAATAGGGGGCCGTTAAAAACAGTTAAATTTTTGGAAAACTTTAGCATGACAAAAGAAGAAAAGTTAATAATAGGGGGAGGACTTTAATATTAGGATTGGTAGAATGAGTTGCGGTGGTGCAAAGAAATGGAAGGAAACTGGGGCAAAAAGAAATAACAAAGACTTTTTCGAAAGTAACGAGGGTAGTCGGCGTATGATAAATACTAAAGGTTGGTTTTTAATTAATGATATGGACTTGGGAGATCATGAAGGCAAGTTTACTTATATAGGACCAAGGAAAAAACCGGTTACTGATGATGCATTAGAAAACAAGTTTGACTGGATCAACAAGGATTCAAATAATTTTACATAAAAATAAGAAAAGATTGGAAGGAGATATGCTATTAAAAGTGAGACAACTTAAAATAAGAGTAGCTGAGGAATTAAGCAGTACTAGACATAGGCAGAAATTTTTTTATCAAGTATAGAAAGAAAAGGGAAAATGTAAATATTCAAATTAGCATGAAGCAATGGGAAAAATATTTTGGGAAGATACTGGAAGGGGTTTATGGGGTCCTAAAAAGGTACAAATGTTAACAAGGATGAACAAATGCTTTTACTTAAAAAGGAAATTGATTTAGCTTTAGGTAAATTAAAAAATAAAAAAGTAAAAGGGTATGACTGAATTTCAAATAAAGCATGGTTGTTTACAGGAGGCGAAGTTAGGAAAAAATTAACATAAATGATCATAAAAGTGTGGGAAGAAGAGAGGATACCAGAGGATTGGAAAACGGCCGTCGTGGTACCATTACATAAAAAAGGAGACATAGACAATCCAAATAATTACAGGGGAATTTCGCTTTTACCAATACTATATGAGATCCATACAGAGATTCTAAAAAGTAAACTATAAAGGGTAATCGAAGGAAAACGGTACTACCAGAAGGTCCAGCAGGTTTTAGGAAGCATAGGTCTTCGATGGATGATATTTTTGTGTTAAACCATGTGATTCAGGGAGGGAGTGTTGAAAAAATATATGCTCTGTTTGCGGACTTTTCTGCTGCTTTCGATGCGGTCAACAGTGAGACTTTGTGGGATATTACGATCAAAAAGGGCTTCAGTCTAAATTTCATTAATAAAATAAAAGAGTTTAACAAAGAAACCAAGGTTAGGATCAGGGATAAATATAGGCTTTCTGAGGAATGGTGGATTAACAAAGGCTTAAGACAAGGTTGCTTGCTGAGTCCGGCTCTTTTTTGTACTTACGTAGCAGAATTGGAAGAGGAACTAAGGAAAACAAACACAAGGGGGGGGGAGTTAAAATTGAAAGTGTTAGGATATGGTCACTAGAACATACAGATGACATAGTGCTATTAGCCTTAAATAGGGAAGCAATGATGGATTTGATGAATACTTTGAGAAGGTTCTGCAAAAAGAGAGGATTATTTATAAGCTTTGAGAAGACTAAGATTCTAATTTTTAATAATAAGAGTAAACAAAACAGGGAAATTTGTATTTTTAAGAAAGGTAGTTTTGAAGAAGTTAAGACGTCTAAGTATCTTGGTTTTACGTTTAACAGAAAGGATGACTTTTCATACTACATTTAAGAATTAAAAAGGAAAAAAATAATAGCAATTAAAAAAATGTGAGGTCTAGGTGCAAAAGGATGCAAAGATGATTTTAGGAGAAGAATAATGTTATTTAATTATCTCGTACAAAGCGTCATGAGTTATGGGGTGAAAGCCATTGGATAGAATAAAATAAAAAATTTTTAAAAAATTCAAACGGACTACTTGCGCTAGGTACTAAGACTGGACTTCTGAACACCGAGATATAGAATTATGAAAGAAACGGGAATTTAAAAAATTAGATTTCACTTCGGTTTAAGAGCTTTAAAGTTTGACCATAAAACTTCTAGTCAGAGGAAGAACAGGCTCACAAGGTTATGCTGCAACGAGACTTTTCAGAAGGAATCAGAAGTGCAAACGTACTTGCATAACAAAAATTTTCTGTACAATTTAGGTTTTAATGTAATAATATTGGACATATGGAGGGATAGTGGTATAAAGTTGATACAGTTGGCACAGATACTTATTTTGTAAAATTTTGGTTATCTCACGTCTGCACTACTTATTATTTTAATTTAGTATTTTTTTATAGAACATGTTAAAAAAAAGATTCCTCAAACTTCAAAATTAGCAAAAGTATACATTTAAATACTACAGAAAAGTATCTGATTTTTTTAAGAAGAAAAAAAAACTGAGGTTTGTACATTAGAACAAGGTATTTCCATATTATGAAACGCATTCTCTCAGTTGAGCTAAACATTTTTTTTTGCAGATCATTTTTTGAAATAAGAAAATAAAATAGCTTGGAAAACTGAAATTACAATATTTATTTGGTTTAATATCGAAAATCTTTACCATAAAAAAAGATATCCCTTCATGTCAACTATAATAAACAAGGTTTAATAGTTTTTAAAAAACGTAAATAAACAGATATGTTCTCAAGAAATCAAAAATAATAAAATAAAAAGCCCAACAAATACTCAAGACGGCTGCGTATCAATTTTAACAATATTTTGTTTCTTACCTGTCCACTAAGAGAACTTAAGCGACCTCCATATTGAAGCTTAGGTGGAGGTAATACTCTTCCTCTAACTTCCATCATATTATTTGATATAGTAAGACCAAATTCTTGCACATATGAATCATTGTTGAAGTCAGCTCGTCTTACAAGATTGTTTATTTCTCTTTCACGATCAGGAGCTGAGCGAGCAGTAGCCTTAATCATTGTTGATGTTTGCATGTCTGTTAATTTTTTAATACAGCGCTGACCAGCGACAATGTTACAAACCTAAATATAAACACAAAAACTATTGTTAGTGTGGTTGATAAGAGAAACATAAGATACCTTTACAACAATTTATTTTGTATATCTAAGAATATACACGGTTCTATCGATAAAATCATACCTACAGTCATTAAAAAGAATAAAAGATGGATTAAAAATTTTTTCTATTGTATGTTTCAATTTACTTAAGCAAGTTTAGTGAGTGAATAAATTTTTAATGAGTTAATGGCCACTGCAAAATCTGCAGAAGTAACTTTCTTTAGATATTTATTCTGATTTGTATAATAACATGTTGCAGTGAATAAGAAGGTTTTTAACTTAAGTTTTCGTTACTTTGTGGTTTCAGTTTTTGACTTTAAAAAATTATGAAGGTTCAAAGAGTAAAATATTTCAACATCTTCACGAATTTTGTTTCTTAGAGTATTCAATAACGTTACTTTAAAAATAAAAGAATTTGAACACTAATATATGTTTTTCAAAAAATTTAACCGTGAAATGCGTAGAAAAAAATTGTTATGTTTAAAAATCAATATTGTGTAACGTTAGGTGTGCGGCACTTTAGTAAATCGGTAATTAAAAAGATTTTTGTCGTTTGACCCATTACTGTGGAATAAACTAAAACGATAACATTGTTATCGTTAGCTTGTTTAAAAAAATTTTTTAAGGCTTATATGTGTCTATAGTATAAAACTAATTGTAATTTAACACTAATATATATTTGTAATAAAGTAAATTTTACTAAGTAAATTTTATTTCTGCATTACCACAAAGTCTTTACTTTTTGAAAATTTCTACATAGTAATTAGATAAAAAAGGCATAGCAGCATGTAGTACCAGAGTTACAAGAACGAGTGGAATTTGTTGAAAGTGCTAATAGCTTGTGACAGGGTCACATGCAGCGACCAAGTCACAGAGGTCTTCATGATCTACACGAACAATCTCTCTTGTCTTCTCGTACTTTTAACGGATTCTAAATACACAGGCTTATGCTTTTTTGGTGTGTTTTTTTTTTCGGCACTTGTAATCGAGGAGAGGAAGACGCTAACACCCGAATTGCAGAACGACAGGAGCGTAGCCGAGAGGACGCGAAAGTATGCGCGCCAGTATTTATAGAGTAAGTCAAGTAGCAAGGGAGATGGGAGAAAACAAAAGAGGACACATACAGAAGTACCTGAAAGTAGGACTAAGTATGGTGTGCGTATGCATTGGTATGCATGTGAAACGATCGCCTGATTTTAGCCACAGCACCAGTAGCAATAGCAATAGTATCAGGTGGCTCACTAGTTGGAAAATTATGTAAAGCCAGAGACGGAACGCACACGACTAGTGAAGGAAGCTAGCAGTAAAATCAGAGAGCAGCAGCAGCATTTGTGCGTAAGACTCCCTTTCTCCAGAATCTCGAGAGAGATTCAAGTCTAAGTTTATTTTATTTATCTGAAAAGTGTACATTGCCAAAAAATGGAAAAAAGTGTCTTGCTAAAGTGTAGAAAAATAAATTAGTTCGTGAACTAATTTAAAATATTTAATGCAATTAGTCCAGATCAAGCCATAATAATTATGTACCAAATAGTACAACGTCAACATTAACTATGTCCCATACAATACTCTACATCGACGTTAATACAGCCTTTAACGCTGTGCTTAGAGGATAGGGCCCCTGATACCTGTCAGTTGTACCTATACATCTATACACTATACATAGCACTGCTGCACGTAAAGGGCAAGACACATGACAGCGTATATAGATTATACGTATGGCCCTCACTCTAAATCAGCATGAGTGCACACCGTACACTTTGCGCGTGAGCTCCACGCACTACGCCTATGTAAGTCATAGTATGTCAGCTAGCAGACCATATAATATTTGTATTGTCACATCTGATGTAGTATATACGTGAAATCCAAGCATCTTATGCATAACTTAAGAGTCACACTAACGCAGTATAGGTTTTCATGCTATAATTGCTTGGATTTTCTTTTCGTGTGGAACTTGTCAGGCTTCGTTTGTAAACAATTCAATAAGATCAAACCCACTAACGCCTCTTAATCAGAATTAACCTTATAAATGATACAAATAGTCTGCTCAAAAAGTGAGATCATTGGGATACAAATAGTGGACACAGTGATGCGAAACTGAGGGTGCATCGTTGATGAAAAGTGCGAACAGCAGTAAACTGAGCAGATATCCTTGTGGTACTCCAGAGATCCTGGTCACAGGATGGGAGAAAGTGATATCGGATGAGATAATAATTTGAGTACTGTTTTCCAAGAACGCACAGATCCATCTAGCCGCTGAGCAAGAGAATATTATAAATCAGGAGGTCAACCATTAGTACATAAAAAGCCTTGTCAAAATCTAAGCAGACCGTCAGTATAAGCTCTTTTCTCTGTATAGCTTAACGCACACTATTGATGATTTGGATAAGTGGAGAGTTAGTGCTGAAATCCCTGAAGATGTCCAATTGCATTGAGTGAAGCAAGTGCCTATCCGAAACGTATTCATGCATCTGTCTCAGCAAAAAAACTCCAGAAGCTTAGAAAACGCGATGTTATGCTAATTAGCCTCTAGTTAGCTAGCTTCAGCAGAGAAAAGCGTTTTTGATTCAGCTGTGCTGACATTTTTAACGTAATGTAAAGGTGACCAATTGTAGGAAAAGTCAAATATATAAAGTAAAACCAGCAACATTGCTGACATGCATACTTTTAATAAGAAAATAGACAAGTCATTTTGGCTTTTTGCGTTTAACTTGAGAGCTTGAATGCCTTCAAAATATTCACTAGAGTAACCTGGTAAAAATAAAAGTCACTTTCGAATTTCAAGCTTGTGAGCTGGTCAAAGCATAACGACATTCACACGCATGCTGAGCTTATTAACACAACGCTAGAGATTTTATAGATCTCCGCAATTTGTAAAAATGCTGCAGTAATACGAGAATATGGTATCTTGTACCTTTGTTTCAACATGATTACGCAGTCACTTACATGCCGACAAAAGTGTCTCACCACGCATTTTTGTAAAGGTAGATCATGCTCTGTTGTGCCTAGCAATTAAATCCTTGAGGTCGGGGCCCTACCACGTACGTTTTTTAGGCGTATACGCATAGAGATATTACATATAGAGTAGGGGAGTCAACCGACAATGCGCCCTATTTGTAGAAAGAGAGGACAAATGAAATTAATTTCTATACATAGACACACTTTTAAAGTGTTTATACTTGTTAGGGAAGGGGTGATGCAAGGTCTTTTCATTCTCTATATTTCTCTTTCAATGAGACATTTACACTTATGCGTTAGGTACTCACTCCCCTACTCTTTTAGTAATATCTCCATGCGTGTACGTCCTATAAGGTGCATGATGATCATAAACCACTATTAGCGTGGTTCTGAGAAAATACACCTTATCACCTACTGTTAGCAGAGAGTGTAATGCCTTCCATTATGTAGCCAAAATATCTCCCTTCTAATCTTCATTATTAAACAAGATATAGTATCAGGCAAGATGCTTCTCGCTAGAAGCACAGGTATCAAAAATCAAATTGTTTCCTCATAATGGACCGAACGATCACTAACACAAATGTAATAAAAAGTAGTATGAGATGACTTTATGCGAAGGTTTAAATACAAAATCGCCAAAGAAGTTTGTGCGAATGGTTCTTGAACTAGAGCCCAGCCGATGTTAAGGTCACCAACAAACAAGGAGAAGTTGCGAGCGAAGCTGCAGTTTAGTAGCGGCTCTTTATCAGACCAACCGTCAACTACTTAGTCTGCTTGACACTGAATGACTTTCTAGTACCCAATGAAATTTTGGGCACCGAATTATTGCCTAAAGTGAGGGATATTACCTTTGCGGAAGAGAGGATACCTGTATGGGTCAGGAGAGCAGCAGTAAAGAATCCAGTCGTCCTTTCGATTCGAAGACGTGTAACTATGATAACAGTGTTGCAGGCCTGAAGAAATTCTTGTTTGTATAATTTAAACAGATATTTGTTGATCATTTTAGTTACTGTATGGGCGTCAAAGCTCTTAAACAAGATATCACGTTCCTCGTTCACACGTTTAATTAGTTTGTTTACTTTCTCTACTTCCAGAAAGAAGAAACACGCGAGTAATATACCCCCTAGGGATACGGAGCCACTTTGGCCTCGTATCCCCCAACGGAGCTAAATAAATGCATACCTACTAGCACCAGATCAGCCACCTATTCTCGTGCCGAATCTACTGCGTTCTTGGCCTCTCACAGTTTTATACGTATAGTGAAGAAAATCTAAGAGTACGATTACAGCATACAATGAAAACTGATACTTGCTTGAAAGCAATCGAACATGCTTTCACATATAGATGAGCGCTCACATTAGTGGGTCTAATTGTTTTTCCACGCATATTACCCGCTAGCACTAATGAAAGTTCCCCACAGCACGTATACTTGTTTAATACTCGAAAGGGATAAAAGAATAAGAATTAACGCGTCTGATTCAACGCGTCTTACTTCATAATACATACATTGATGAGCTGTAGAATAACGCTTTATTCATGTATGATACTACTGGAGAAAAAATCGAGCTACTACGAGCCAACAAGAGCTTTAATATTGAGATACTCGACAATATAATATTTTCTTCGGGGTACATGCAACCAATACATATGGAAAAAATTAACCTCTAAATCATGTAGCTCTCACATATCCTCAAAATCTAAACATGTACCGAGAATAATGTCATGAGTAAAGTAATGTTTATGATACATAAAATATAATTTACAAATATCTCGTACACTTTTCATCTTCATGGTATATGTTACCTATACATATGGAAAAATAAACTCTTATGCAGTTCTCACACTTCCCCAAAATCCAAACATACAAGGTCTGTCCGGAAAATATCAGGCCTACCTCTACAATTCCGGACTGTAGAGTTGGTGAGTTTGTGTAGATGCGGTGCATAAACGCAAACAGTAAATCCGTACGAACTCAGCGGTTCCATGTTGATATCTTTCAGACGCACAGT